CTGTGTGACTGCTGCCCGACATCGCACTTTCCTCCAACCCGCTGTGCAGAAGCTTTAGTAATGTTGCACATATGTGCTGCAGAAGTCCAAACATGTTAGAAGCCTGTAAACGTTATGTTTTAGGTAGGGATAAAACGGTCATAGTGACAGAACAGTATTTATAAAAATACTAACACATTCAAAGAAATGCTTTTATTCTGAAAGGGGTAAACTGGAAGTATTACAATTTAGACAGAACTGTAACTATTTTGGATTGGCTGATTTGCCAGAGATGATCCCACCCACCTTCAAATTAAACTGATAACATCTGACCTATCATTACTCCTAATGCTAATGCTAAAAGTCTTAGCAGTTAGCATTAGCTTCCACTAGTGTTGTTATTATTATTATTTTTAATCTGTTTAGCAGTTTAGTATTAGTGGAGCTACGATTCTTGTTTAGCAGATTAGTGGTTAGTGAAGCTAACTTTAGGTTAGTTGTGCCCACCACTGTTTGTAACTAAATTATTAACAAAAAAGTAAACAAACCTCAGTATGGGAAGAGTTATTTATCATACAAAGATTTACTTATCACACATGTAGTGACGCTGATTACCGCTTCTTTGAAACTGAACACCTTGATTGCTGTAAAGAAAATTTCACTGATGAGAAACATAAATCTGTCGATCTGTGTTTGATTTACTCTGTGGCTGTGAAGGGTCTCAAAGCTAAATAATTATTTTTTTAATCATGCATTTAATTTCAAATTATGCAAATACTGATTCCGTCTGAACAATTCAAATTCTTCCCATACCTCGGTTTGGCCGTTGTAAATTTGGTAAACAATATAAACGACAGCAAATCCAGGGGTGCCAATATTACTTCCTAATGTCCTTTAAGTATAATTTCATCTTAAACAAAACAAAATAAAATACAATGAAATTTTATGCAGACAAATTCACAGTTTATTAAATAGCTAGTTCAACTAGTTTTTCTATTTATTAAGATTCTCCTCTTTGTCACACTACTATCCTACAGCCACAAACATTTATAAACCTCTTCTAAGCTATTTTTTTTTACGTATTTATGTTTTGTTGTAAAGGGCAAAAAATGCAGGTTCAAGCATTTCTGTCACTTCAAACAAAACCAACAAATAATGAATAACTGCACACATGCGGTCAGACGTGCAACACTGGGAAACTTCCTTCACCACAACCACAAAAACAAACTACTGGACTCTCTTCACACCTTTTTATGTTTGCTCGTTATTTGTTTTTTGTTTTTATTTTTTGCAAACAATGTTTGTACTGTGAATGTGAATCATTCTCTGTATAATTGTAAAGTTTAGATGAATATTATTTATGCCGTCAGTCTCTCCATTTGCCTTTTTTTTTTGTATTTTACCTTAATTTTTGGGTTAACTTCTGAATCGTGTTGACATAGAATGCAATAGCTCTACTTGACTCACAGTCTGAAAACATCGGTGCTAATTTTGGACTGTGCCTGATCTTATTTATTCTATAAAGACCACAAAGAAACCAATCTGAATACTTGGTGCTGTACACAGGGACATTCGTAGGGCAGTTTTCTCATATTTAATATGCTTTGGTTGAACTCTGCCTAACTGTAGACACCATGTTTGAATGAAAAGGCTCTCCAGTAGCAGGTAAACAGGTGACAGCATCTCCTGTCTGCTTTGCTCTCAGAGGTGAGCTGTGTATTTGTTGTGAACATGACACACTGTTTTTTGTATTATAATTTTTTATTATTTTTTTGCTTTCTGTTAAAATCATACATAAAAGTTCTATAAAGTATGTATATACAGTACAGCTATATAAGTGAATAAATCTATATGTTTATTAATCTATCTTAAAGAAAAAAAAACAAACAAAAAAAGCAATAGGGGACATTATGGTGCTGAAATCGTGGCCCCTAATTCCAGCCTGTTAAACAGGAGCGTCGCCACCTCGGGACCTTTTTAAAAAGTCGGCGCCCAACAACCACCTGACTCCACGCGATGTACACAAACCACAACTCAGAAGCTGTTTGTGTGTGTGTGTGTTTCTCACACACACACACTTGGTGCTGTGGCTTGAACACATTTAGAATCCAGCACTAGAACTGTTATCACTCTAATCAGGTTTTCTCAACTCGTTTCATTTTTATTTATTTATTTTTGCTAACCAGACGTTTAAAAATCAAAAGTGGTGCTTCTGTTTTCATGCAGCGTCCGTTCTGTTTTTACAAACTACACCTCTACTGGTGCATATAAAGCAAACAAACAAACCTACATCGGTGTCTTCTCAAACACTGTCTCTAGATGTTTTAGGTCACGTGAGCGTGTTGTGTAGACCATGTAAAATACTTGTAGTGTTTGAATAAGAGCAGCTTCCTGTTTTTTATTATTTTTCCTCCTTTCTGATAGTGGAAATACACTTCAGTCATGTGTGGGTGTTCTCTCCTTTAACTTGCATATCTAAGAGAAGATTAGAATTATAATGGAAAAGCTTTATTGTAAAAAACAAACAAAAAAAAAGCATCTGTCCTGTGCACGCCCCTCTGCAAACACAACCAGTGTCTGAGGAGAAGAACGTCACTTTTGACCTGTAGTTAGATTCCGGTCTGTTTGTTACCAGCACTCTGAGGTATTTTGTAATTCTCGTCGACGCTGTTCTCGTTTCTTATTCTCGGTGTTTGATACGATTTGCAGTTTAAACGTGACGCTTTTAATGGGTGTTCTCAGATTTCCTGTCTTGTTTTTACTGCAAGTTCCACAGACAGGCAGCACGGTGCTCTCCTTCACTTAAAAACAAAAAGGAAATCACAGCTATAGATTATTAGTGCTCTCCTCCTCTTGTGCTGCAGGGTTTTATTGTTTTTAAAGAGACGATCAGCTCACCTGGTGGCTTCTCTGACGGTCCGGCCCGACACCTGGAACTCTCTTTCTCCCTCTCCTGAAGGGGCTGCTGTGGTGTGTGTGCGCACGTTAAGAACTGTTTGCGGAAAAGAACAAATACACTTTGTTGTGAATTTTCCTTTTATTGTGCCATTGGTCCAAAATGACCTTTGGGGTTCTGTTAGATTTTTTTTTTTTTACGCCTGGTACATTTCTTGGTCGGTGCTCTGGGAGAATGCTGCAGCTCGTTTACTTTAAATGCTGCCAAAAGGTCTTAACTCAGGAACCTTCCAACAAATTTCTGTAAACAACTTGATGCCTTGTTTATTTCTGGTTGTGGCATGAAGGAGTCCCCGTAGAAACCCTACTCAGGTTCAGTGAGCGTATCGACGTCTCTCTTTCTCTCTCTCTCTCTGTGGAACAGTTCTTACCGGCACACACATCCAGCCTCTTCAGGGACTTCCAGATTTGCCAGGCTTGACTTTTTTTCCACACATCTTCCTCGTCTCACTAAAGCCTCCGTTTCAACACGCGTCACTAAACAAGACGGAGGTTTGGTGTTCTTCGGCCCTTTAACTGGTTGGTGGGCGACGGGACCTAACGTTGGTGTGATCCGGTGAAGCCAGGGCAGGTTTGAGGTGCAATAATATCAAACCTACTTTCCAAAACACCCTGAGGTTTTATTTTGTTTTCTCTTTATGGAAAAAAAAAATAAACTTGTTACTGTTTGATGTTGGTGCTTTTATCCTAAGATGTTCTAATGAAACAAATGGATTTAGTGTTTTTTCTGCGTTTTATGTTTATTAATAAAATTGTTTTATATAATATAAAGCTTTGTTGCTGCGGTTTAATTTAATTCCACTTCTCTTGTAATTGTTTTTAAAGTCTTCTTTTAAAACAAACATCCCGATCCTTCATGTGGGAAAAGTCAATGATCTTTTTTAATTAAAAGGTTGTTAAATACAATTGTTTTATGCAGCACGAAGTGTAAAATAAAATGTAAAACAAATGTTGACACATTTTCATTRGCTCGCTTTCTGAATGAAATGTCACAGTTCTTACATTTTCTTATTTTTTAGGTAAATTTAAATGTTACATTATGGGCTTTGTAAATATTAAATCCTAAATCTAAATGCTACATTTTAAATGTTGAAGTTAACATTTAAGCATTTCAGAATGGAATGCARCCTTTGCCGTAGGTGCTTGACTCATGATGTCATCATCCTGAGACAACGGCATCTGCTAACACTGCTAATGCGGCTAACGCTTTCCAACAAGACCTCAAACTTGCAGTTGTGTCTGGTGTCTGAGCTGTACTTTAAACTGCCGGTACCACTGGTATTATTTTTCAATGGACACA